AGAATGGGTCTGCAGAGAGAATGGGTCTGCAGAGAGAATTTCCAACTGTCTGTCATCAGCCTGCAGCCAGGGAGGAGAGATCAGCAGAGCTGAGTGCGTGTGTGAGGAAGTCCGTGGATTGGTCAATTTGGACCAATCAGCGGGGGCTTAACGTAACGGCTCCGCGGACGTAACGTAACGGCTCCACAGATTGGTCCATTTGGTTCCGGGTAACGCATGACATCATAAGTTACCCGGAAGAATCAATGGACAATGACGTATCACCAACGAGGTGTTTTGGGGAGGTATTTTCTGTGTTAGAGTTTTACTCGCTACAGGGTGTACTTTGAGGGTTTTGACTCTGCAGACCGTTTACATGCAGAAAAACCTTCATAACACACAAGGGGACGGGTAATAACCGGAAAAGCATGACATGGGACCTTTAAAAACAAAGACTTAAAAACAACAATCAGTTTAGAAAAATTATTAAGATATTGAATATGCCAGTTTAAAAAGGTGTGGTTTTTGTTTTGCTTCACTGATATGATGCAAACGTACCAGTCATGTTCATACAAGACAGGCAGGAATTTAGCACAATTTCTTGCTCTAAAACCAACCAATTGAACTCTCTGATAATCATCAGCCTGGAGGCAACCAGACGCTGACAGAGTATGATGTGAAGTGGAGGCACTGGCATGAGGAGGTGGACCGCTGCCTGCAGGACAATTCATTCGCCAGCAACAAACATCTGGAGATCATCTGCAGGGTCAGTGACTTCAGTCAGCTCGAGCTGCTGTCCATTTACTTCTTACATGTACAAAATATGCAAAATGACCTGAATCTGTGTTAAACTGTTGGCAACGAGATGTCCTGATTAAGGCTTAATCATTGAATGAGTCTCATCGATATCACAGTTACTTCTTTTTATTTTTGTTTATTTTTGACTAAATTCTAGATCCTAGTTGGGGATGAAGACACGTTGCTGGAGCACAAGGAGCTCCTGGGCACCTGGTATCACTTCCTGGTCACGAGACTACTCTTCAGCCACCCTACAGTCCAACCCACAGAGTTACACTACTATGCACAGGTAACCTACACTAACCGCTTCAACACCGCTCAGTTTTTATCTTCACTGTTTCTTTATTCCTGCTATTTACTGTGTGTGTGTGTGTTTGTGTGTTTGTGCAGTCCTGCATGACGATGTTTCTGGACTCGAGGAGCGTCCCTGAACCCCTGGACAACATTTTGCTGGCTGCGTTTGAGTTTGACATCCACCAAGTCATCAAGGAGTGCAGGTAACATGCAGAATAATATCAATATATATATATATACAATCAAATCTACAGTACATGAAAGCAGGTTCAATCCTACCGTTTCAAGTATTGTCTTTCACTCTTTTCTAACGTTTCCACCACGTGTCTCTTCAGCATTGCTCTCAACAACTGGTGGTTTGTGGCCCATTTGACAGATCTGTTGGATCATTGCAAACTCCTCCAGTCTCACAATGTGCAGTAAGACTTCTACTCTGTTTGTGCCTGCATATCATTTTAATCTGGAGAGAAATAGATTGCACTCTTTATCCATTTAACATTTTCCTTTCTGTGTGTTCAGTTTTGGATCCAACTTGCGAGAGTTTCTCCTGCTAGAATACGCTTCTGGTCTCTTCACTCATCACAGGTATGGTTATCGAAGTACTATAATTATCCTTATGGTATAGAAGTAATGTTAAGTGGTGTATTTAACTACTCAGGTTAACGGTACGTCCACACAGCGGCGTTAAAAAAATCTTCAAACACTTCTGCCCATTCACTTTGAATGGGGTGACGTCACTTTGCCTCACTTTTCGCCAAACTGCATTGTGGGAAGCAAAGCGGAGATTTCCAGGCATCTCAGGATTCAAAAGTTGAGCAATGTTCAACTTTTGAATCTTCTGAAGCTTTCGGTGGAAGCGTCAGCCAATCAAATCATATGCCAGTACAAGCTCCAGCCAATCAAACCGCTGCTTGTGTGTCAGGGGCGGGAGATTCATGTGATTGGTTGTTGGTCGAGCTTCAGACACACCCGGCAAGCTTTTTCCAAAGCCGCTGTGTGGACGTACCGTAACTCAAAGTAAGCAAACATGTTCAGTCTCTATACATTAGCGTTTGGATCTGCAAATTATGATTATGATTAATGCTAACTAATTGACTCTTTAGTTTAGTCTAGAGGTTGTCAGCACTGTTGAAACACCAGACATCAGCATGGTGTTCATTTGACTTGGTTCTACAAATGTCTCCACTTAAAGGATGTTTATGTGTTTGTTTAGTCTTTGGCAGTTGGCCGTGGATTACTTCGACCACTGCCCAGATTTAGGCCGGGTGTACCTGGAGCTGCAGATTGAGCGTGTTCCTTTAAACACGGAGCGCAAAGCCCTCAAGGTGCTCAGGATCTGCGAGCAGAGGCAAATGTCAGAGCAAGGTAGCACTTTCTTCCTCTTGTATCCACCTGCCTTTCACAAAAACAGACATTAAATGTGTTCCTGCCAATGCAGTTAGGACTTAAACCTTTAACTTCCTGTCCTCATCCAGTGCGGAGCATCTGTAAGATCATGGCTATGCGAGCCCTGAAGAACAACAGGCTGGGCTCGGCTCTCTCCTGGAGCATCAGGGCCAAAGATGCTGCCTTCGCCACCCTCATCTCAGAGAGGTTAGTTTCTCAATTCATCAAGATACCATTAAAGGTTCTTCCCCTCATCAGAGAGTTGTTTGTCTTTTCCTCTTCTACACCATGGACTCTGAACAACAAGCTTTCTGGAGATTCCTAACTGTGATATCAAACGAGTGCATGCTTTTATATCCTCCGCCACTTTGTGATTAGATTCATCTTGTGGGATGATATTTCTTTGGCTGATAACACCTACAGCGAAGAAAAGCTGCCCTGTTTCAGTTGTTATGTTTGTCAGCTAGCCATTATTGGGCCGTTATCTTGTATTCTGGAGAGACCTTTGACATAAGAGAAGCGTAAATAATTAGAAATGATTTGTTTCAGGTGTCAAATAAATTGTATTTGGCTGGTCTCTCTTTGTCGTGAGGTGGTTTCTAAAGTGTCTCCGTGTGTGTGTCAGGTTTCTACAGGATTATTGCGCCAGAGGGACATTCTCTGATCTGGATCTGATCGACAACTTGGGTCCAGCAATGCTGCTCAGCGACAGGCTCACTTTCCTTGGTACGAACTAGAAACACGCACGCACGCACGCACACACACACACACACACACACACACACCAGCATTTGCAGCGCTGCTCAACTTGTGACTCACAAGTTAGATTCACACGTGAAGTGAAGGGACATTCAGTCAGGGCAGATTTTCTCCTGTAAAGCTTCCCTTAAAGTATTTTCTAGGACATCACATGAGACTCATACACAGAGACATGTGTGCACACCCAGATATAAATAAAGCTATGTACAGCTTAATCCAACAGCATGTGACCGTGTGATCTACTGGAAAAACATCTGTGAAAATAGATAAACCATTTGTAAAAGAGAACAGTAAATATAAAGAAATTACTTATAGATTATGACAAAATCTATGTTTTAATAATACAAATGAATTATATTATACAGGGGACATCATTTAAATGTGTTCTAAGTGTTTAATTGCTGAAAAAAGCCCATACACAGTCAGTGATGTCTGAAACACTGCGAGAGGAGCAGAGATGAACAAGAGTTCAGTAAAAGCAGATTATATGTCATTTAATTTCAAACCTTTATTTATCCAGATTGTCCATTGAGATCATAGATCTCTTTTTCAAGGGAGAACTGCTGCAATTAGGTTCCACATAAACAATAAAGGACATCATACAACATATTTACAAGCTACATTTACATATTTATAGACATTTACAAATACCCATAGTTTCAAAGAGCATTTCACTCAGACTTGCTTTAAAAACATTCAGAGGAATAAAATTGATCAGTTTCAATTTTAGCTGTAGATTGTTCCAAGCAAGTGGCGCTGCGCACATAAAAGCTGTCTTACCTAAGACATTCCTTGCTCTTGGCACATCTAACAATACTACATCATGAGATCTCAGACAATAGCTGCTTGCAACTCTCTGTGTTATCAGAGAGCAGATATAATACGGGAGTTTACCCAACATGGCTTTATAAATAAACTTGTACCAATGACTGAGCCTCCGTACAGTAAGTGATGGCAAACCTGCCTTGGCATACAGGGTACAGTGATGAGTAAGTGCTTTACAATTAGTGACAAATCTCAGTGCGCTGTGATAGGCGGCATCTAACTTGTTCAGGCAATAGGCAGGTGCATTCATATAGATCAGATCACCATAGTCCAGCTGAGTCTGAATAATGTTAAAAACAGCCTGTAATTTAACACCAGCCTCCTGAATGGAGGGACCTGCACAGTACATCACGGTATCATCCGCATAAAAATGTAAAGTAGCTTCATCCACATTTTCACCTAAACTGTTGATATATATAGAGAATAAAAGAGGACCTAAAACAGAACCTTGAGGAACACCATTAGCAATGTTTAACCACTCAGAAGACAGCCCATCAAAGTGAACACATTGGGACCTTTCAGAGAGGTAGTTCACAAACCACCCCACTGCATGGCTGGATATGCCAATACTGGCTAGCCTCTGCTTTAAGATGCGATGATCGACGGTGTCGAACGCTTTGGAAAGGTCAATAAATATATGTAAATAAGAGTGTGAAGGATTCATGCAGAAGTTATTAAACTGCACTTTTATACCGTATGATAACATCTGCTGTTTGACAGCATTAGCTTAGTGGTATTACAAGTATTTACATGAGCAGGTCAGAAAACGGTCCTGTCTTTTCACTCCTAGGGAAGTACCGTGAGTTCCACCGGCTGTACGGAGAGAAGCGCTTCGGCGAGGCGGCCAAGCTGCTCCTCTCCCTGATGACGGCCAAGATCGCCCCCCGCAGCTTCTGGATGACCCTGCTGACCGACGCCCTGCCGCTGCTGGAGCAGAAAGAGGTCAGGCGCTGTGCACCCTGCGCAGTAAACTGTTGATATGAATTCTTAACAATATAATCACATTGTTCCAGTTAGGATATATGACCAGTAACATTCAAATGCTAAACTGATATAAATGTTTGCCCCATTTCTATTATTGTTTTGTCCTTTCTTTATACATATTGATAACATATGATATTTTTTAAAGAGACATACATCAGAGTCAACAAAGGGCTGCAACTTAAGGATTAGTTTCAATATGGATGAGCTTTATTAGTGCAAAGATATTCAGTTCACTCTGATGGAAGATTTAAAAAATCCCATATTCACCATATGGACATTTCCACAGAACATTTAGCCCATTTTCCTTTGGAAACAGCCTACAAGATCTATTTATTATATCAAAGTAGTTTCAGATATATTGAGCCCAGTCCTGTCTTAGTCATTCTGTTCTGCTGAGATCTGTGTTCATTACTCAATTCACTTCAAAGCGTGTGTGTGAATGGATAACACACTTGGGTCTTATTCTGATCATGCATTTCCAATAACTAATCTCACGATCTTAGAAATGATCATGTCTTTTTTTGGTGAAATTTCATTTAATAACATTTAAGTTATCATGTTATATGGAAACAAATGAACAAAAGAGGAATTGTTCAGTCTTGATTAAAAGGTGTCTTTGTTTGTTGAATGTTAGGTGATCTTCTCGGCCGGCCAGACCTACGAGCTGATGTTCTGTCTGGAGGAGCTCACCTCCTCTCTGAGCTCCGTGGCTCCCGCCACAGACGGGACTATGCAGGTACGCCTCAATCCTGATCAGTGTTTAAAGAGAGACCAGCTGTTTAGTGTTGGTGTCAGCAGCTGCTTTTCTTAATAGTTGATTGGTGTCGATGTACATTTGGTGCAAAAATATACTAATAACTAAGCAAGTTATTAACATGTGTGCCCCCTATATGAAGTGTAAACAAATATTCTAAGACATTAAAAAAACTAAATTACCAAATGTTATAATATTTAAGTATTTTAATGTGAACTAGAATTGTCAAAGTTGTACTGGTAGATACTTGCCCAGACATATCTATTCCAGATGTATCAGAACAAATGGTGGCGTTCTTATCATATTAAATATGGTCTTTTGGGCACAAATGGCTTAGTGTTCATCCTTTCCACTTCAAGGTAAACTCCTACAGAACAATGAATTATTTGACTTGTAATTCACAGTCTTAACTCTGGTGCTGTAAAGTTCATTTCGTCTATATGTTAAAGACACAAGCACACTTCTTAATGTGAGTGTTTTTGTCTTTTCAGGATGAAGACATAGAGCAGACCAAGGTGGAGCTCCTGAGACTCGCTCTGGCCAGGAACCTGGCCATGGCTATAGTCAAAGAAGGAACTGTGTCAACATGAATGATGCCATTTAAAAAAGAAACCTCTTATTATTCATTTTTGTATTGTATATAAAGTTTGAGTTATCAACATGTGCTCTTTGATAATAAAACCCTTTTCATGATGTACATTGTTTTTGACCGTTGGTTAATTATTTACCTCCGAACAGCAGACATCCATTGAAAGAAATATTTATTTTTCCATGTAGCGAACAAATGGCACATCATACAGTATGTACAGACCTAACTCTCCCAAAATCTACACGTCACATGTTCACATAACTGGTCATACAGCAAACATTAGGTACATTACAGACTATGTACATGAAACACTCACTTCTTCTGTACATGACGAGTTGAGGAGACCTAAGGGGGGGATCGGGGTGGAGCACAGATCAATTCACCCACTGCTGAAGACACACTAATCCGCCTGGTGACAGACTTCCCTTTCAAACTACAACATTTATATTCAGATTTTTCAGTTCACTTCATTTTCTAGGTTCAGTGATGCACTGAAATACTATAAACGGAACATAAAGTAATACATGTCAAAAATACTCCCAATACTTTCACCGGTAGATGAGTTAAGATCTGTAAATACACGACTTAAATATAACCACCGACTCCTTAAAGCATGACTGAAAAGCAGACAATCAAATCAGACCTTGAAAATGTAATCACATGACATAAAACAGGACTCAGTAGCCTCAAATATTAACGATATCATTAAAAATATCAAACCTCTTGTTTGCAGTTGTTTGCCATTACAGCAGATAATTAAACATGGTTGTCGACTTATCTGAAACATGGCAAAACTAATTATTATTGATCACACTAAGTTTCCTTATATATAATAAAATCTTGATGGCTGAAATTATTTTAAAACCTTTTACTAAACCGATGAATTGCCCAGTTTAACTCCATCTTAAGACATCTACTGGATCCCATATTCAAATGAATATATTCAAGTATATTTTCTGTGTATTAAGAAAGTGCTCGGCGGAGGAGTAAATAAATAAAAACTGTTGTGTCTTAGGCTCTGGTAAATTGACGATAGATATGTTTTTGCTTTGATTTCGAACATGTAATGCCTGTAGAATAATGACTACATCAATGTTAGGATTGGTTCCCTATAGGCTTTGCTTCCTAAATGCAATTCTGTCTGTCACAAGGCAACCAAACCCCCCCCCCCAAAAAAAGCCTAGTTGTTTCGTTTGTTGCAGAGAGACTCTTTGTTGCTGGCAAAAAGCTGTTGACTGCATTTACTCTGAATAGCATGCAGCAGGAAATTGGTTACAATAATGTTTATTTTGGAGGGAAAATTATAAACAATCCAAAAGTCTTTGGGACAGTGGCACCAACGGTACTTCCTCTAAATGGGGGACACTTTAATTTAGAGGTTAGTTTCTTTTAACAGTAATTTTGTTATGAAGCAATCCCATCAGTCAGGGGCTTAGCTCTAATGCATGGAATATTTAGAGTTCATTAACATGTGTTGTAATCCTCTTGGGCAAAATCTAGTCAAATATTCATCTCAGGCCCTGTAAACAGCACTACTGTCCTACTTGCAAGTGCATATCTTTAGTTTGTTAGCCATCTGCAGGAAAGTATACGAGCACTGTATAAATACAACTCCAGTGTCTGCTGTTAGCTTCTCACTGCCGGTAATGACAATAGCGAGGGAAATGAACAACTATAAGGAATGTGCAGCTGAATTTCTCCACCTTCCCCTCCTTCCTCTCTGGGATGGATGTGAATTCACAAACCCTTCATGGAGTACGACCCGCTCTCCCTGCCTAGAAGAAGCAGGCATCTTCGCTCCTATAGATGGCCCCAACTCTCCTGTGGGGGGAACTGGTTGACCTCTCCGACCTCGTTGCACAGGCGGTCTCCGAGCGTGAACGCCAGTTTGAAGCGCAGACGCACCTTATCCTGTGAACACACACACACACACACACACACACACACACACACACACACACACACACACACACACACACACACACACACACACACACACAGAGTTCTTTTAGTGTTATCCTTAAATCCTTCGTTACTTGTTAATTTATGTCCTCGAGTGTTAACGTGTCACCTACTTTTGTTGGGTTGGCCAGCAACATGATCTGGGTAATGGAGGCCGGTGGTAGGATCGGGTTGAATGGAGCCAGGTCTGTTCCTGATGGAGGCTGCAGCTTCACCTTCATTGACTGGTGGGGGATAAAAGGAGGAGTCAGCACAGAGTATTTAAACCTTTATTTATAAGACGATTTCACAACTAGTGTGTTCTTGCTACGGGAGGCGGGTAAAGAACAGACTTAAATGACCATAAGAAATATTAAGCTGATGAGCCTATTATTATCTGAGAATACCTGCAGGCAGACATAAATACAGCATACGCTCAAACACTTCTTCTCATAGGCTAACTCCTGGCAGTTACAATGAAACAAACACATCACTGTCTGAGGAAGAAGTGGTTCTACCTTGGGCACAGCAGCCTGCAGTACCACATTTTGAACAGGCAGGGGGGCAGTATTGAGCGTTGAGACCACCATCACTAACACGTCAGTCCTGCCGGGGGGGCAGTTAGCTGCAAAGTTGAGGAGCATGCGAACACCGTCCTTATCGTAGGCCGTCACTGGCAGTACTTTACCTGAGGAGAGGCAGACATGAGATATTTAAAGAGTTTACATTCAGCTACATGTTTATTAATCATTTATGAATCCCTCCCGTCCTTACTCGGTCTGATTGCCTCCAGAGGGATGTGCACGTTGCTCAGGGAGACGTCTGTGGCTCTGGCCGGGCTGCCGTGGAGGGGAGGGTGGCAGGGGGACAGAGAGCGGAACAGGGGGCTGCCCGGGGCCGAGCCCAGGCTCTGGACCTTAGCATGGGACAGAGCGGGAGAGCCCGGCACCGTACACTGGAGAAAAGAGGGTGAGGAGGAAGAGCCATGTCCAGCTATGAGGGGAGGCGCTGCTGCAGACATCCCGAAGCTGCTTCCTCTTGCTGCCATCAGCGAGGAACTGAAAACCACAATTTATAGATTGCTTTGAGACCTTAAAGTACTGTAGAACGGTCAAATAGAGCACCAACATTGCTTTAGTAGAACAAAGAAACACTGAAACATGGCAAAATGTCTACAAACAAGAGACAATTCTGTGGAAACGACTGTTTTTGCTTTCGTTCAAATTTTTATAAACCACTGTTTTTATTATTAAACATAACAACAGATAATGCTCATGAATCTGTACCTCTTATGATCTGAAAAGCCCATCATGGCCAGGTCCTGCAGGTTCTGCAGACTGTTTGTGGCTGCAGCGGGCTCAGACGGTGGTACCACGGGACCTGAACAAGCCGCACCGCCAAACATGTCCAGACCTGAAGCTGAAGCCTGCAGAGGAGACGAGGAGACACAAGATAACTTACACCCTCCTTTCACATATGAACTAACAAGCTGTGGTTTGGTTCAAGTTGCTCACAAACCATTGTAGATGTACCTGCAAGGTAGTCCAGTGATTGGACAAATCGCTCAACTTGGGTTTCGATTGGCTGCTCAGAGAGGTAGGGGGGTCGTTCAGTCCTGAAAAAAAAGTACAGACATTTGTATCGTTAAAAGAGAGGGGACACTACAGGTGAATAGGATAAAACGAAAACCATATTTTTTGTATTAAACTACATGTTTAAATATGTAAATGAAGCATTATCTTATACTACATTTTGGTGGATCTGGGCTAAATCTACAAATCTAAAAAAACAACTTTGCGTACAGTATATTCTGGATGTTTTCTATCAACTAGAAAACATATGTCTGTAGAGTCGAGTGGAAGCTAGACTAGCTGTGGAGTCAGAGTTTTCTTGCACGTGTCTGGTCTTTTTTCAGTTTTATCTAGCAGTGACATCATTGTGAATTGACCTGCTTGTGGAATAAAAGTTGTATGTGTTTTCTCAGCTCTACAACGGACCCAAAGTGTATTTTGTAAAACTACATCAGACAGACACATGTAGGCTATGACAAACAGCTAGAAGGCCTTTCTGAAGACACAGATAGAGAGCATGAAGCTTATTACCCACAATAAGTCACCATAGGGATATTATACCTAGAGACAGCAGCTCATCGTCGAGGAGAGAGAGTGACGTGGAGGCCATGTCGAGGGGGGGGTGGCTGGGGCTGCTGCTCTGGGAGCCGGCAAGACGTTTGGGAGGAGGAGGCAGGATGGGGATGGAGGAGATAATGGGACTGATGGAGACCAGATCTGAGGACTGGAAGTGAGGGGGGGCCGGTTGAGGAGGGCTGGGAGTGTCGAGGCCGTCGAGGTCGATCAGAGTCTCTGTGGTCTCTGCTGGAGGGAGAGTCATGCAGCTGCTGAATTAACTACACAATGGCCGGATTCATGGAGTTAAACATCTTGTTTTTATGTAGAATTATGTAAAACACTATTATAAATTGTCTCTCACCACTCTCACTGTGACCAGCTGTGGGTCGGGGATCCTCGCTGTCTCCGTTGACGGGCAGCCCCTCAACAATCTTCTTGTAGGAGTTTATGACCCTGGAGAGGTCATCGCTGGCCTGCAGGATGTCACCTGAGGAGCCAAAAGATACACAATTGAATGATAAATACCAACTACGTTTTTCCAAATAAAGAAAATACCAAACAAACAAACCTAAATTGGTGTCGTTGTCCTCTGACTCGGTGGCCATTTTGAAAGCAGCGCGCCTCAGCTTGTCACACCGCTGGTAGAGTTCCTGGGAAGAAATACAAAATGTAAATGCAACATATGAAAAAGTAAGTGTAAGAGAATTGACCTTTGGGTTGTAAAGGACACTGAAAGACAACAGATCAAATGAACTGTGTATGCCCGTTGAACATTCTTCCCCTGAAGTTTACCATCTTGTGTTTGTGTGTTTGTGAGAGGGCGAGGGAACCCACCTTTATGATGTCCTTGTCTGAGTCAGTGGAGTTGTCTTTGTTGTAGTGGGACAGCATCTCCGTCAGCAGCTTCACGTTAATGTTCACCTCGTCCAGAGTGTGTATGCGCTTTGTTACCTTGTGTACTCGAGCCTCATCCTGTGAAATATAAACAATACACAATGTTTTCTGTGCTACACATAAAACATGGTCGTGTCATATATTACAAATATTATAACTAATTTGGTTTAGCTTTGTAAGGGTAAAAGTCCCGCACTTTCAAAATACACACAGAAAAGGTCCAACATTTATAATCACATACAAATGATTACCATAAAACAGTTTGTGAAAAATAAAGTTTACAAAACCTTTTTGCCTGAAAGCTCTTACCTCTTTCACCATGTTTTTGATTAGTCTGTTTGCTTCCTGGAGGTCCTCTGGGTTTTTACTTCGCAGAAGCTCAGCAAGCAGCTAAACACACACACAAACACAGACTTACACACTTACAAATGTATTATATAGACATGAGAGCCCATGTATAATCTATCTAGTCCTGGAATAAAGGGTACTGCTTAGTTTTGGTGAGATGCCCCTTGATTTCTAGAGAATGTATTTAATAAAGAGCCACAGATTATATAGAGAATGTATTGCATTAAAAACTTAACTCAGGGTTGCTTTATAAGAGAAGCATTTCTGATAAAGTCTTTGGTTATTATGATCATTGATATTACAGATATTAAAATGTACCTAGTTCTGTTGTTTGTAGCTTTCATTATACTGCTCAAATACCAGAAATTGTTTGTTTAGTTAAAAAAATAAAAGGAATTTATTCTCCAATACTCTTGCAAAATATTGTTTGCAAAAATAGACAGTGCCATAGCTATAAAAACATATATTGGCTGTAGTTTGGTTTACAAAATGACAGGACAGATGTAGTTTTCCTTCACTCTCTCACCTTGCCCATGTCCTCATTGTCGAACACAGGATGTTTGGGTCGTGTCGGAGGAGAGGGAATCAGAGTCCTGTCGAGGGGTAACTCCGGGTCGTTAGTGACGAGGCCTGGTGAGGAGAGAGAGGATATTGAGAAGTCCGTTCACATGCACATTTAATCATGTAAAGTCTCTGTTCGCAACACACCCTGTCTTCTCAGCGTCTGGTAGGCTTCACTGATCTTAGTTTCATTAGGAAACGCCACGGTCCAGCTGTACAGCATCTCTACTATCTTCAACTTCACTTTCTCTGCTGCACTGTCGCCCATGTACTGGAAACAGGAAGTGATTCAAAAGAGGCTGGATGGTAGGACAAACAGTCAACCTACTTTTTATTTTTCCTATTTGTGGACCTTACCTTTGGGGACACAACTTTAATCAGCTCATTCAAAAATCTGTATTTTCCGACTTCATTATGAAACCTTCTCCCGCAGTTCTTCATACATGCCTCCAATACCTGGATACAAAATCATTTGGATTAGGAACAAACGTTGAGAAAAAAAGGTGTTTGTTGATATTAAGGTGAATGATGTCTTACTGTAAGAGCCTGGAGAGCCTCCCATTCTTGCGGTGAGTGGATTTTGTGAACAAGCAGAGGCACCGCTATCTGAGGACTACAAGAAGAAATTCCAGATTAGAACCATTTTTCTGGAAGAGATTGTTTTTTAAAAAGTTTTTTAAAAATATATCCCAGACATACCCTTCCAGTTCCTTGTTGATCTGATCACAGAAGCCTATTATGTACTCCCAGTCCTCCTGTCTGTTTGAAGGATGGGTGGCTTTATCTGTTAGAGAAAAACATTTTATTTATAATTTTTTCACAGGCAATATTATTTCAGATTATTACTTTTTACAAGAGGGACCTGAATACAAGGAAAACAAAGGGCAAAACAGTAACAACACAACTATACAAAATAAGACATTTTAACAGGAATAACGAAAGTGTTGATGAGGCAGCATGACCACACAGCATTTCTGAATAGTCAGATATGAGGTTTGACAGCACAACAGTTTCACGGTTGGACACATTAACTCACACTAACCTACAGTAACCGGTGTGAACGAGGAGCTCTTTGTACACCTGAATGCACCTCACATCCTACTAAGAAAATGTCTCCCTGTGAGTCTTGTGATCCACATAACAATGCAGCAATTGTTGTCTTTCTCCCTCTTTGTAATTACTGTTGTCATTGTATTAGCAGTGCAATGAAGAAAATCATAAATAAATACAAACCTTAATGAAGATGAAGACCCATGTTGGTTGCTTAAATATATATTGCCATGTCAAATAAAGGATTTTTTCCTTTTTATACAAAATGATTTTGGAAGACTTTGGACTTGAATTCAATATATTTTAGATACCAAATTCATCCATGCAACAAGCCATTCACAAAATGGAATATTTTGAAATAAATTACTTTACTATAAAGGCGCTAGAGAGGAGAAATATATATGTAAACATTTGGGTTTTAAATTACATTATAGCTGCATTATTCTAAATAAGCAGGAGTTTATTGTTACCTGCTTCGTCAGTCCAGCAAAAAGTGCATATGGAAATAAAAATATGGAACAGCTTTTCAGAATCTGACTGTAACAGGATGCATCTAACATTATATATCTCAATATACCATCATCATTGTATATTTATATGATGATATAAAAGGCAGTTTTGGTCATATCAGATATGTTTTTCTGGAAAATGAGCATCCTAAATCACACCCACAGAGGAGAGTTGACAAAGAGTAAATCTGGTGCCTCACAGCTCTGACTGGGACCTACAGATATAAACAATTATCTATCAGACAGCTGCCAGTATTAAAACTGTACCGAAGGAACCAAATCTGTCGAGCTTCTCGGAACAATCACTGAGCTGTCACTGGTAGATGATGTGACCCAGACATTGAATAAAAGGCTCTCCACCCATCATGATGCAGACAGCTGACTGTGAACAAGACCTCTCTATCAGCTGCACAGCGACTAACAGGCTCTGAGTTACCGGACTCACTGCCCTTTCACACGGAGCAAGTCATCTAGCTAATTACCCACATTATTTAATTCATATATAATAGGATTGATCACTCACTGAGCCAAGATTCAAGCGACTCCCCTTCCTGGTACGCCATAGCACTGAAAACATCGCGTGACGTCACCAGCGTGTAGGCGAGAGCCAGAAATTATTGTTTGTAATTATTGTGTGAAATTATTTTTAAACACCGTATCTAGCATTTTAGAAAACATAATTCACCACGGGTTTTAAATAAAATATTTGCCAAATAAAATAATGATTTGGATTTTAGGCGTTTATTTTTGTAAGGCATCCACAGGAGGTACTAAGCCCGGGGTCCTGATACTGGCACTCACATTTTCAAGATGGCAGCTTCCATCTCAGGATTATTAAAACCTTGGACACCAAGGTAATTATTATTTCATGAAGACACAACCAGTTTACATGTATTGTTAGCTGTCTATTTTATTTAACTTTGCAATGCGACAATGTTCTTTGCATTTCAGAGTCAATGATGTACATAACGTGGTTGAAATAGCGAACTGGCTCTGGTGTTACATGTCTGCTCAGACGAATGTTAACTATCTGCAAATGTTGATCTGATAAAGTGATTGTTCTGCTTTTTTACTCACTGAGGTTTTCATTTACTCTTTTAAATTATTGATAATTCCATCACCCGATAACCAATTGGAGAAAAAAACAATTATTTTCATCATTGAATATTTTTCAGTATATGTAATCGTTCAGATTCTATACAATTATACTAACAGCTAAATACTAAGGTTACATTTTTACATTTATAAAAAAATCCGAAAGTAAAAAGTCCATAGTTGTCCCATTAACAATGATATAAAACTCGGAAAAGCAGCAAATATGAATAAATAAACTAATTTTCTGTTGATCAACTAATTATCTCAGGAGTTGTTATGAAATTGTATTTGATTAATAATAAACAATTAAATATAAACAATTAAATATGTAAAATTCAATCAATTAGAACTACAACTCACTACTTTTTCAATTTAAAAGTATTTGTTATCAATGAATATATTTCAAGTGTGTTCTCCAAATGCCAAACATATTGTAAAAATGAATAAAAATCAGCACAAAAATGTTTCAAATGACCTGCTCTTTCTGAAAGCAACAGTCCAAATCTTAAATAAATTGAATATGCTCACATTTAAAACAACAAGAAAACCATCAAATGTCTTAATTTGACAGCCAGTGAAACTATCTTTGACACTTGCAGAATTGTTGAACAACTCATCAATTACATTTTTCAGTTTCAGTGCTGATTTTTATTTGGATCCCCTGTTCTTACACCCACACAATCTGTGATGTATTTGTCAAAGGTTTTTCTTTCTTGTGTCCTTTGTTTGCAGAGTGTTCCTGGTGAGATGGAGCAGATACAACCCTTACTATCTTGAGCCGGAGGTCAGGAAGGAGGCCTACATCAAACCAGAGGCAGAGCTGAGCGCCGAGGAGAAGGAGCAGCGGGAACTCAAATCGATCCGACCCATCAAGGCAGCGACCAATGATGTCACCAGCTCTGTGTTCAGCGACCCCGTCATCAGGTACCACAGACAGACATGTCTGCTCTCTTTTATGTGATAAAGTCAGAGCTGAGAGTTCATGTCAGGTCATCACTTTTGTGTTTTCTTTCCAGTAAATTCGTCGGCATGATGATGTTAGATGGAAACAAGATTTTGGCCAATGAGATCATAGCAAAGGTAAGAAAGCTAGTAAAGTGGAGCTCAATGATCTGCTGTTGGTTTTATAGCATAGGATTTACATTAATGTGTCTCTCTGCTTCCAGACGCTGGAGAACATTAAGAGGAAACAGGTGGATAAATACCACAAAGCTCCTGAGGGGATGAAGGAAGAAATCGAGTGTAACCCCTACGCCATTTTTCACCAGGCTCTGGAGAACTGTAAGCCTGTCGTTGGGCTGGCCAGCATTCAGAAAGGCGGAAAGTTCTACCAGGCGAGTGATGAAGCTGATCATCATCATCATCATTTACATACAATACTCAGGGGTACTGAGAACATCTGCTCTCATGGAAGGAGCTTATTTAATCTTTCTGCACAAGTAAAACTATTAACAAAATATATTTTCACTGCTTTTGAGGTGAGTAAACAAAAAGATGTATTACAGACATGTCATCTATGAATTGTAACGATCATATCTCCTTACAGTTTCACAACCTAATGGTTATACTTTTTTGTGCAAAACTAAATCCTAGAAATGCAATGAGGAGCTTTAACATTAAACATAAAGCAGCTACAATAAGTCAACTATCTGAAGATTAGCTCAAATATCCAAGATGTTTAACTATAATCTTTGTCTCTAGGTGCCAATCCCTCTTTCTGATGATCGGCGTCGCCACCTTGCCATGAAATGGATAATCACAGAGTGCAGGGAAAGCAAACACAGACGCACGCTCATGTATGAAAAACTGTCCCAGGAGCTGCTGGCAGCGTCCGTGAGGGAGGGGAACGTCATCAAGAAGAAGCTGGAGATGCACAAGATGGCCGAGGCCAACAGAGCCTACGCTCACTACCGCTGGGCTTAGAAAGGAGCTTTAAAGACTGAAATGTTGCTTCAGACTGAGACTGGACACACGTGCGGAGGATTCAGTGACACATCATGTCGATTCTGTAAATAGTGAACAACGGGAAAATCCTTTGGTAAAGAAGTGCTGTAAGAAAAGCAGTGCAGTATTAAAGGGGAACATGGAAACAACTTTTTTATTGAGAAGTGGAATTGTGTACAATCGTGCTCTGTTGTACTTTTAATTAACACAAAACACACAATTAAGGAAAACTTCAAGATTTATTTGAACAAATAATTTTAAATGTACAACCCAGCCATCAAACATGGGATTGAGTAATGTAAAAATGTTGCAACAGCGTAATAACATTTATCAACAGATATTGCAGTCAGTAATGTTCCCTGTCGTTACGGGACGAGTTATTCCTAATTTCGGATTTACATCATTAAACATTTCTTTGCCAGAAATGGAAGCTGCCAATTTGAAAAATAAAGTACAAAAATGTCCAAAATCCTGACCATAGCTGGGCTTTTACATTCTTCTCCAACATTGGCATACAATTTAAGAATATTCAATCTTATATTAAGCTTTCGTTATTTACACGTAATTACAGGTAGAGATTTTTCAAAGAGATGTAACATTTGGGCCACGAGTGAGTTTGTCTTCCTCTCCCTAAAGCCGTCTCTTAGTTTCAACAAAGACAACAGACTGATGAGAAGCTGAGCTCGGCTACATGCTGTGTGTAGCCGCTGCTGCTGGTCCTGAATTCAAAAGGAAAAATGCTTCCGTTAGCTTTAGGCTCATAACTGATATCGTGTGAATGGAGGATAAATACCTTATTCCCTGCTGCAATGGTGAAAGTAACCAAGCACGTTTAGTGCAATTTGTGAAGGGAATATTACTCTTTTACTGCACTACCTTTATTTAATAACTTAAGTTATGAGCTATTGTGCAGACGCAGATTAATATTAAATACATTGTTTGATTTTGATACACCTAATGCATCGATTGGGAGAAATTCAGAAGCTAACCTGCAGTATATAAAGTACATTAAATTGAGCCCTGACAGCTGATCAGATCATTAGAATGCAATATGATATTTATGATTGGAAATGGGTCCTTCAGCATAATGAATACTTTAAGGTGGTTTTGCTCGTTTTATTTTTAGAGCATGATCAAAGTACTTCCTTCACCACGGTCCTCGGATGAAGAGCTTTGGATGAAGCTGCACTGCTGTATTGGCACAAGTCGTTTTACAACTAAAGCTTATGAATCCAGAAATGAAATGAATGTCTGATTGATTTATCTGTAGAAACAGTTTCAATTTAAACTGTGAGCAATATCTTGGTATTTTAGTTCAGCTGTAACAAAATCAAAAACAGAAGGTCCCTGACTTAAGACTCAACGCTTCATCTAAAAATGTCCTCACTTAATGAGGCAGTAACAGTAGTCCTACAGACACATTAGGTTGAAAAATCCTCAGAACTGCATTTCAAACTATTACTAAAATATAAATTCTACACTCATATTCAACTGAATTCAAAAATATTGATTTTCACTTAAATCTGGTCACAACAACAAACTGTAAAGCAAAAACCAAGTCAGCCTACACCTGACTGGAATGTCAAGTCCTTTGGATTTGGTAAAAAAAAAAGGGTGGACTTTGAATAGGAATGCCTGCAAGATCAATAAAAAAAACATTTAAAAAAATGCTCAAACCTTAAAACAAAGTGAACCTGAATGTGACAAAACCTCGTAACTTAACGTCAACGCCTTCTGAACTATTGCACATTCCACCTCCACGGCACCATGTCTCGGGAAAAAGGATCAAACGCAGGGAACAATCCAGCGAAATAAAAAAGGTATTTTTACACGTTGTGATCCGCCTTCTTACCAAAAAAATATCCGCGTCAGCCTGGAATACACGGCTGTTCTTCATGAATCTGCTGGTTTAATGATCAGTGTTGACTGAGGACAGGTATCCGGGGTCCTAGTCAGCGATCTCACTGTAGTAGTACTTGTGGGCGGTGCCGCTGAGCAGCCACCCCCCCGCCCTGAACTCCAGGATCTCCAGCAGCAGCAGGCGGGCCATGGAGGTGAGCCCCTCCTGCAGCAGGAAGCCGTCCCGCAGCAGGTAGAACACCTCGTTCATCCGCGGGCCGTTCACCTTCTCCAGCTGCTCCCCGATGCGGTGCAGCTGCAGCACCAGGCAGTCCACCTGCAGGGGTGGGGGGGGAGGTCAGTGACTTATCAATGAGAGGAATGTTTCTAAATGTATTCCATCTCAAAACGTTTGTGACACATGTTTCTGTCCCTGGAGAAAGGTCCCTCCTCATTCGTTCTTTCAGTGTTTATTTTCATCCCCCCCAAATGAAAAGGGTTTGTTTAAAAAGTTCTTCCTATAACCAAGTGAGGGCCCAAAAGACAGAGGGTTTTGTGAACTGTACAGATTGTAAAGCACCCTGACCCTGGGGTTGTTTTTTATATTGCTATATACATAAATAATCTACTGGACTTTTGATCGTTTTCAAAGCTGGCTGTCAAATGTTTATACTTATTGATGTGTTACAGTGGCAAACTATATTTTCTAGAGCAGTTTTTCTCAACCTTTTTTGTGTCAAGGAGCCGATCTTATTACCAATTTAGGTCACAGACCCCCATTTGATCAGATTTTGCCTCAGAATAAAAATAATGAAAATATAGTTTTAAGTTAACAGAAAAAAAATCTTAACTATTTAAATACATCAAACTAAAAGTTGAAATAACTTCAGATTCTTCCTCACCTCCTCCTCATTCATAAGAGCATCTGGTTGGGACAGTCTGATCAGACAGTCGTACACAGGATGGACCAGAGCCACCATCGGCATGTTGTTCACCTGGATGTCAGTAGAGGTAAAAGGTTAAGTTCTCTTTTTCAAGGTAACATTGTTGAGTTCTTCAAAAAATAATTACTCTTTCACACAAGTGAAAAACTAGCAGTGTGAGTGAAACCAATAAAAAGGTGACCTGTGTGAAATGACAATAGCCATTATCAAGGAAGAAACCTGAGTCTCTGTGAAGTGGAGCAACACCTTCAAGGCTCACCACTGACATATTAAACACTTCTATTACTACATGTGCAAGCAAGAGGAGCAACAGGATAAGCACATGTACCGTGTATCTGATACATAAAGCACAAGAAGTAATCAAAGATATCCGATGCTTTGATCTGTACTTATTCATCGATGCCACACTATCGTCGAGTTTAAGACAATATGTCAACACGATGAAGTTTGACATTCCTTCCAACTTACTTTGAGGTAGTCGAAGATGTTACAGATGAACGTGACTAAGCACACCCACTCCTGCAGCGAGCGCGCCCTGGTCTCCTCGCGGCTCTTGAACTCCTGCTGCAGGCGGTTCAACAAGCTCCTCCTGAACACGTTTCCGTTGTTCTGCTTGGCCTCGGCCTGCACCAAAAGGGACCCGAGAGAGAGGACAGTTAGTAGGTGAAGAATGGACAAAAAGTCAGGAAACAAAGCGGTGTAGGTAAGCTGGCTTAAGCCACCTGTTGCTGCAGTGTAAACTACCAGTTAGGCATTAATAAGGTAAGAGGATTAACAATCAATCAGATGTTTAAGCCCTGCTCTGGTTCCTTAAATCCCTCTGTCTCACTGGTGCTCAGTGTCTTGATCAAAGAAACAAATGAAGACAACAGACTGCAAACAGTACGGACCTGCACAATGGTGTAGCAGATGCGTCCGGCTTCTTTGCTGAAAACCTGGTCCTTCAAAGACTGATCCACGAGGATATCAGAAACCTTCTCCAGGTTCACAGAACTTGGATCTGAAAGAAACCAAAAGATATACATTTTAAATGTCTTTTATTGATACAGTGAATATTGATTAGGTGTCAATACAATGCTAATGCAGGAAAAGTTATGGAAATAATTAAAGATGTTTGCAATATTGAACTGATGTAGAAATGTTTTATGTTAGTAATAAGAGGACATGCTAACCTTTCAAGGCTGTTTTCAGCAACATCTGTGTGTCCATGTCTAAAGACTGGATCCTGTATTCTTCAGTAGAGTTCTCCATTTTAAATGGTGGCACCCAAAATCCACCTGAGAGCTGTAACTCTGTAAAAATACATCAGAAAATACCTGTTATTAAAACATTTTATACGGGTTTAACATTTCTATTTGTTGTTTTCAAAAGAAATGCATGGTTTTCTCACATAATAAACGTTGTCCTCCAACACTGTGGGCACAACATGCATTACAGACAAAGACTGCAGAACAATTTGAGGGACAACAATAACCGCGAAATCCTGTACTGTCATCAAACCGGCTGCAGCCCCCACAGCTCATTCACTGAGGCACAGCAGGGATTACATGCCCAAACTCGGGTCACACAACAGGTCACCAATACCCTTAAACAACATATTTAACTCAATAACAAAGTCCTCTTTTAAACTGTGAGGCATTAATACCATAAATTAGCCACGTATCATTCACAAGTAACTTTGGCTAGTGTTGCATGTAAATTAACATTAGCTAAACGCCAATTTGGGTAATGTAACTTGGGTTTATCGATATGATACCGATAGTAAATGCAGCATTAACACAGTTTTGCTGACTTGTTGTAATCTCATTCATTTCCAAATAGTGTTAACTAATATTAAACTGGTTAGTTTGTGTCCTTTTGTCGAAATGCAGAGACACATCGTTTATGTTAAAACGAGTTAGCGTCAAGTTACTTAACCTACATTTACGTTACACCCACCCGCCAGAGGAAAGAAACCGGTTATCGTTAACTACAAATCAAGAAGACAGAAATGCCGCATCAATTGCTTACATTTCAAAAATAGCATGTTGATAAATTACCTACAATTGACGCCAATTCTTTGCATCTAACCTGGTCATAGCACTTGGGTAGATGTTCCTCAACGCAGCCTCACAAAGATTAAGTACCACAACAAGAGAAGTGCCTGCCTCCCTTCACCTCGCCAGAAAAAAAACCGCAAACACAGAATGAACGTGGTAGATTTGTGTCTGTATATTTCAAGCAGTAACACCCCTATTTTGTAGGCACGGTGCTTGTTCTGCGTAATTTGGATATTTTATTTTAAACATTTTCATTGTAAATGCTATATCTACCTTCAAGTTCACGCTAATGGAATCATGACTACATGGGTATATCTGGTGGTTTATGCAGGCACATCTTGTTTAAGGTAGGCAGTCATTCATCTTGTCGCGATAATTCATCTTTGAAAGGTGTAGTCCTCTGTATCCTGACCCGGAAGTAATGCTAGCAGTGCTAGTAGTGGCGTGAAATAGGAACTGTGTTCGTGCCATATTAATGTTTGACAGTTCAGAACTGTAGCGGTAGATGTATCCATGAAGGAGTTTTACTGAAAGGTAAGTGTCTGTCTGCATTTCTCACCACTGGAGCTCTCTACAAAGTGAAGAGCTGCTCAGTTGTTGTTAGCTTAACGTAGCTAGCCCAAGGTCCCACTGCATGTCCTCTACATGCTGCCACTATATTGTCCTCATTGATGCATGATGTTCAGAGATTTATTTTATAGTCATGACAGCTTAATTTTCTTTAGATATTGTTTTTTTTAAAACGATAGTTTAGGTTTGACCACAGTATCTAAAAAGTCCCATCAAGAAAGATTTGCCCCAGACTTCTGCTCAGACTCCTAATAGCAATATGAAATGACCAAGTTGTTCATCTTGTGTTATGTTTATAGTCTTTTTGATTACAAGACACCACACTATCAATACGAGCCAGATCCATAGATGCTTTAAACAATCAAGACATCAATGAAGACTGTTATGAATAATTCAGATTTCTCTGTCTGCAGTGTTAGCAGGAATCTGACTGTGGAGACATGGTGGGCTACGACCCCCGGGCTCAGGGCTCAGCTCTCTCCCCAGAGGAGGCCGCCCTGGCTGGGTCAGCTGCTGGGATGGTCACCCGGGCCCTCATCAGCCCCTTGGACGTGCTCAAGATCAGATTTCAGGTAATGATCTGTACATGTACAACCAGGTGCTGACAGAAAAGACCTCAGTGATGATGAAGATATTTAAATCATAGCAAATACAGGCTCTGTAGCTCTTTATCTTCTTCACATTACATTTCAGTAGCTGAGCGATCAGGGAAAATAAAGTTGTGAAAATGTGTTTTTGAATCCCTATTTCTTTCCCCACAGCTTCAGATTGAGCGTGTGTCTTCCCCCAAGGGGAAGTACCAGGGATTATTTCAAGCGACCCGCTGCATTTACTCAGAGGAGGGGGTCTCTGCGTTCTGGAAGGGCCACGTCCCTGCTCAGCTCCTCTCCATCTGCTTCGGAGCCGTGCAGGTAGAGACTGTGAACCTTTGCAAACTATCTTTATCACATGATTTCCTGTTTCCAAACAAACAATTTGATTTATGTGTTTGCAGTTTGCCAGTTTTGAGCTTCTGACGGAGGCTGTCCACAACTCGACGCTGTATGACAGCCAGACGGCAGGAGTTCACTTCCTGTGCGGGGGTCTTGCTGCCTGCTCTGCCACAGTGGTCTGCCAGCCTCTGGACATACTGCGCACACGCTTTGCAGCTCAGGGACAAACCAAGGTGGGACTTTAAACTGCTGATGTACACGTAACTAGATCAGCATGTAGCTATGGAACATCTGACAGAGAATAATCCAATACTCTGTGAATTCACAGCCTCAGAAACTGACCTAGACAGTATTTAATGGCCTAGTTTTAATTAACCAAAGCATTTCATATATTCTCTTGCTCCTATTCCCCTTCTAGGTCTGAATAATATATTGTTTTATAATCATCATTGCAAGGTGAATGAACTATAATCACATTGTGAGAAAATGCAATACTGCACTCAGGGATTTTCAACATTTGGAAGTTAAATAAAATAAGTGATATTGACAATATCATAAGGAACGATTGCAAGTTACTTCTGTGAATTACTTACACAAAAAGGATAAAGCTGGCGCCCCATTGGCCAGTATTTAGCCGGTGGACCCTGCAGACCTTCATTGTCATGCTTCATCTGTCTTCTCAGGTGTACAGGAACCTGCGTCACGCTGTGTTCACCATGTGGCGCTCAGAGGGAGGGCTGTCATTTTACCGCGGACTATCTCCAACACTGCTGGCGGTGTTTCCGTACGCAGGGCTGCAGTTCTTCTTCTACAATGTCTTTAAGAAACTGTTGCCTCCTCCAACCACAGCTGGAGACTCAGCAGGTCAGTGGAGATAATGGCATGTATCACACCACATTACACCACATTCATGAAATGCTCACAGCCTGAATTTGATAACGTTTACCTCCAAGGGAAGGGACTCCTGGGAAGCCTGGTCTGTGGGAGTGGAGCTGGAATGATCAGCAAAACCCTCACATACCCATTTGACCTCTTCAAGAAGAGACTGCAGGTGGGCGGCTTCGAAGCAGCCAGAGCGCACTTTGGACAGGTAAGCTCTTCTGCCGCAGGTTTGAGGAAACAGGGTTTTTATTGTAAAAGAAAACTGAGTCCAAAATGTAAATAGCTGTACAATGTTTATTTTCTTTTTAAAAAATACCCAAAGAAGTCACGGAAAAGATTGTTGCCTGGTTAAGAAGAAAAAAAACACTTGGTTTCACCCTGTGTTGCATAATGACAATAAATGGTCTTCGGGTCCTTGAAAAACGAAATCACAATAATTGTAAATTAATTTCAGTTTTAGCTATCATTTATATTTCTCCCAAAGAAAAGGAGACTGCATAATTCCCATATACTTTCATTACATTGAACCACAGAAACTGAACACACCCGGCGTTCCAGCAGAGGGCGCTATGTCGCGATTGCTTCACAATTTAACCCCATTGTTTCATATGCATTCTCGTTTTTGCAGAATTAAAGAACAAGAACATAATTTAAGTAATGTAGTTCAGCACAGGTCCAATATGACCCAGCGGGGGTCGGGATGTAAATGCAGGTGACAATTTTCTTAATAGTTAAATAGTGACAGTAGAGTGCTCAAGTTCATTCCCAAATCAGAAAATGTAAACATAAGGCTACACAGTTCGGCAACGACTTATTTTGCATATATGTAGCTGCATAGTTCACCTGTTCCTAACAAAAACACACCAAAACTGATGTAAAGCCCATTGTATAACAAACTGATGCTAGATTAAAACACTCTTTGAAAACCAGCTAAAACTATAATGACATTGAAAAGTCAAATCTAAACAATATCCAAGCACTCAATTAAAATTCAAAACCATTACCTTGATTTGAGGTAGATATTTGGGGTCTGATTTGTATTGTGTCATGTCCCTCCCGTGCAGGTGCGCAGTTACAGAGGCCTGGTGGACTGCGCGGTGCAAATAGCCAAAGATGAGGGTGTCCGAGGATTCTTCAAAGGCCTCTCTCCGAGCCTGGTGAAGGCCGCGCTGTCTACAGGCTTCACCTTTTTCTGGTATGAAGTTTTCCTCATCGCCATGCACAGCCTCAAGCAGAGACAGAGAACAAACAGCTCCACCAGAGGCCTCGAGGAAAGATAGAGATAGGAGAGACGGCTCAATCCCGCACATCAGAAAAACACTGCTACCTTCTTCATTCTCACTTATATTTATTAACTGGGTCGGTTTTCAGTGGTGGTTTACATCTCATTTATTTATTTCTGTTCTGTCATTACACCGTGGGATGTACAAACATTATTTTTTTTAATATGTATTTCATATTTGACTGGGTTTCTGAGGGGTATGGACGCTTTCTTTTAGATATATATCGTTATAACAAGTGCTCACTTTAAGCTCTCATTCATAACTCTGCCATTGTTGACATTTTAATGACGTTAACTCATTACATTGCAAATGGGGTATTCACCAACATTTGTTTTGATAGTGTTTTCATGTGTAATATTTATTTCATTATGCACTGTGTTAAGCGGATACCCTGTGGACTGCTAATCAAGAGTTCAGTTTGTTTGTCCTGCTGAGTTAAACTCCTCAACGTTGTTATCTCTGTATCTCTGTCTAGAATTATTTTTCTAATTAAAGTTTTTCAAAAAATCTGAGCAGTCTGTCTGTTGACAAGAATGAATGTGTGAATCACTGATGACAGCCCATGGATCAATGCTGCCGTGTGTGCTTACCAGACAAACTATATAAGATAAACCTTTATCAATCCCCGTGGGGAAATTCAGTAGCTTAACAGCAACAGGGTAAGAATGAAAAACAGGACAGCACAGATTCATACAATTAAGGATAAAATCAAAGATAAAAAAAACGAAATATATATACCATATAACGGGCCTGGACTTAATCACACAACTACATTTACACTTGTTTTAAAATCCTTTCTCATTGGATAAACATTACATTTGTAAACTATAATCATACTGTAGCTATTTGTTTAGGAATTGAACCTTAAGTGCAGGACTTTCATTTAGCAAATACAAAATGTTCTTCCCATGTTTGTAGTTATAAAATCAGTACAAAACAGATATTGAAGGGTTAACTCTTGCTGCCTAGATGTTTGATAAATAATCATCAGTAATGTGGATATCATTAATGTTAATGTAAGGTACAACAGTTCAGAAAGTGAGACAACTTTACTGTTAAGCAACCTTTAGAAGCAAGAAAATAAAATGTGTGGAAGATATTTGGTTTACGTCCCATGAGCACTTTCCATATATTCAATGATTGTTAACACCTTTGGCTTCTGACTAACTTCAGGTTACGAATGTGTGTATAGTGGTTATTTTTTTATTTGCAAATAAAGGGTAATAATGACTCCCCACACGATGATGGATTACAACAGGATTGCATTTTAATATAATTGACTGAATACAAAACCCATCAACAGTATGACATAAAAACAAGAATACATTTGAAATGAATAAAGCTGCAAAATAACACAGAAACCACATGACCAGTCTGTTAAAACTCAACAGCAAGTGTCAGACTGAGATAACAGTAAAAATAGAGAACATAGAATATTTCAAAAGCAGCCTTCGTAGTTCAAATCATGCGATTACAGACGTTGTGCCTCACTATCATAAACACTTAGAGAGGAAAGAGAGTCCTGTTCTCTAAAATACACTTTCATAGCAGCATCATTACTGGATATAATATTGTTTTTAAGTACGGACATTTTACAGGTTATGTAATGTTGATACAATATATACAAGAATACATAATCACCTTACACCTGACTGTGAAAACCTTAATACTAAACTGATACAGTGGCCAACAAGAATCCGTGGAAAAGTCCCAACCACATCAACAAATACATCAAACCACAAGCTCCAGGTAACACAGCCAGAGACTCAGATGCTCAAAGCAGGAAAGAAAACAGTTTTCTGTACACGAGAAGTGACTGATCTGTCTACACAGGAGTTAAACTGTGGGATAAAACATTTTCAGGAATGTACGCTACACTCTGAGTAATACTGTCTGATGCACGGCGCTGGTTTTCTGAGGAGGATGAGGAGCCTCCAGCTGTTTCTCTCAATGGGACGCACTTTACCTTTACACCTCGCAGGACTGTTTGCTAAGGACATCAGGCCACCTGTAACACCGACGAGTCTGCGGAGGGGGTTACCAGGACAGTGAAAAGTCTCCTTCACTTCGGCTGGCTGAGGGGTTATTGTGGGATGTGCTGGGCAGGCAGCCTCCACTGGTCCACGGGTCGAAGGCGTTCAGCCCCGCTCTCATTCGGGCTGCGGACTGGAGTTCCAGGAGAAAAAGTTTGGCAGCTTGAAGAGGGAATCCCTGCGGCCCGGGTCCGGCAGGGTCAGGGTCTCCGGAGCAGACTTCTTCCTGGGACGCTCCTTCGGAACCGACAGGAACTCTGGGGCTTCTGTGGAGAAGGGGGTGGACGGGGCGCTGCTGGGGCCGCTGCGAGCGACAAGGGGGGTCTCTGAGATGGAGATGGCGGGAGGGAAGGAGCCGATCTTCAGGTTGGTGGCTTCTTGTGTGGCACGCTCATACTCTCTGACCTCCTCCATGGTCATTTCTGTGGAGAAATCACACGCTTAAAAACAAGAATAATACATTTCATGATTTAAATCTACGGAAGAGAGTGAATTGTTCTAAAAAATGTAAACCCTGTGTGACCCTGTAGGATTGTGCATAGAAGAGAGTGCATTGTTTCATAATTTCTTTTGAGCCAAATAAGATTAGACAGTCAGTATGTCAATGCTTATTTCCATTTATGTGAAAGACTTAATAACTCCGATAAGGCAGTCAATAAACATTGATTACGTCCTTTATCTTAGTATTCCTTATCTCCTTAAAACACATAATATGATGGAATTTGAATCACGCAGATTTGTCTAAAGAGACGTATTAACCTATTTTTTACTTACTAGTTTAGTGTTTTATGCCAATTCACTCTCCATAGAATCCTTGCCTGTATACTAATTTGTCTGTAGTTATTTACAAAAGGTCCTTGCCACATAACCACACTGCCATCTTGAGGTGAGTCACACAAACTAACCCATTTGTCATGAGCACAAACAAACTTACCAATCCACTCATCCACCCAGGCAAAGGCCTGTCTGTGTCCTAAAAGCAGGACATCTCGAATCACCTGAGCAGCATTAGAAAAAAAGAGAAGACGAGGAATCAAAAGAGGATCATACAGGATCATACAGGAAGTAAAGAGGGACAGAAGAAGGGGGCGGGAGATCAAGGAGAGCGGTGGTGAATAAGAATGATTCAACTCTGAAGGCCGTTTTAAAACCCATTACATTTTTAAATCCTTCCCTACAACCCTGGAGGAATGGGATTAATATGAGTCACTCTCGCCTTACTATGTTAGTAATGGCCCTGCCTGTGTGTGCATGTGTGTGCGTGCATGTATGTGTGTGTGTGTGTGTGTGTGTGTGTGTGTGTGTGTGTGTGTGTGTGTTTGTGCATGTATGTGTGTGTGTGTGAGTGTGTGTGTCTGTGTGTGTGTGTGTGTGTGTGTGTGTGTATGTGTGTGTGTGTGTGTGTGTGTGTGTGTGTGTGTGTGTGTGTGTGTGTGTGTGTGTGTGTGTGTGTGTGTGTGTGTGTGTGTGTGTGTGTGTGTGTGTGTGTGTGTGTGTGTTTGTGTGTGTGTGTGTGTGTGTGTGTGTGTGTGTGTGTGTGTGTGTGTGTGCGTGTGCATGTGTGTGCGTGTGTGTGTGTGGTGTGTGTGCGTGTATGTATGTGTGTGAGTGTGTGTGTGTGTGAGTGTGAAGGTGTGTGTATGTGTGTGTGTAGGTGTGGTGTGGTGTGTGTGTGTGTGTGTGTGTGTGTGTGTGTGTGTGTGTGTGTGTGTGTGTGTGTGTGTGTGTGTGTGTGTGTGTGTGTGTGTGTGTGTGTGTGTGTGTGTGTGTGTGTGTGTGTGTGTGTGTGTGTGTGTGTGTGTGTGTGTGTGCCTCGGGCAAGGAGAACACAGGGACAGTTCACCCCAGAGACAGATGCTGTGGAGGGCTAGGTGAAATGGATTTTGGATATAGGAGATATGAGGTTTAAACTGTGTAGCCGGCGTAAAGGGAGATGATGAAATGATTCTGTAAGATGTGAAAAGGGCAGATATAACACTGATTTGGTTCATAGTTGTGTGTCAAATATTTTCAGAGCAGCACATTAAATGCCTAAGGCATTAACATGGATATAGGAGCAATAGGAAATGGGAAATGTATTTATGAGAAGGAAATAACTTTCTTTGTATCCAGACCTTGTGTACATACTGCTCCACACGTGTTTGCAGGCCCCAGACTTCAAATTTGACCGTGACCAGTTTGTAGGAGCACATGATGGGCTCTTGGCTGTCGATCCATCCTTCCTGTAGGACGCCTCGGTTAGTCTTCTTTGACTTAAAATACCGCAGGTCCTGCAAGGCCATTTGACACCAGTTACAACTTATTCCTCAGGAAAAAGAAAATCCTAAATTAATATTTGAGACCTTAGAAAAGGAAAGAACAAAAATCCTCTTAAAGGATTGGCTTCCTGTTTTTAAACCACTACCTCTGTGAAATATTCTTTCCCATCATCTCTCTCACACACACAAACACACACTCTCCCTTAACTCCTCCTTGCCTACAGCACAGGATCACCTTAATTCATTACGGCCCTAAAGCAGAGTACAGCTGCATGCTGGGACTCCCTAATCACAAACTTAAGAGTGCGTTAATCCCTGCTCCCTATAGAATAACACTGCTGTAGTGCTCATGTCATATGTATGTGATGTAATGTCAGAAAAGGATTCAGCATCCTCAATAACCCCCAAAACCAGTCCAAAATTGTCCAAATCTGCCAATAAATGTTTAAACGTTTTTCTACATAATGCTATAGTGCCATTAATGCTAATTAACGCAACTTATGTGCAAATGCCCAACATATGCAAGTTAGCATCCGGCAGTTTCTATGTGCTAGAGATCCCGGTATCACTTTACAAAAAGACTACCCTTATAAAGGGTTTACGAATAGTTTGTAATTCATTTATTAATTAGGTTGTGAACACTTTCTAAATCATTAATAATCTTTTATAAGACATGAGATAAACAGGGCAACTGACTGGTTGCTTGCCAAATAGTGAGCCCATTTATCTGTACTGCTAAGCCTTATACTGGCTACTTAGCTTACTTTGTCTTCTTCATCAGCAAGCATCCTGATATCTGTTGCTCACTGAGTTGATTCTCGCTAAGTAGCCAATATAAGGCTTAGTCATCTTGCCAAATAGTGAGCCTGTGTTGACGTATGAAAACCATGTTAGACCTGGTTTATAAATGGTTCTTAATGATTAATAAAGTGTTACAACCTAATTCATAACCTAATTATAAACCCTTTATGAATCCTTGTGTGTGTGT